GCTCTTGCGCTCTCAGAAAGGTGTCCTTGAAGAAGAGGAGCCAGCTCTGTTCTGTTCCTGTGCCCTTAAGGACAGTTTCCCAGGGGATCCCATCCAGTAATTCCTTGAACAGCTGGAAGTTTGCTCTCCTGAAGTTCAGGGTCCTGACTCTGCTTTTTTGCCAGGCCTATATTCCTCAGCATCACAAACTCCACCAGGGCATGGTCACTACAGCCCAGGCTGCCCCCAATCTTAACCTCTCTAATGCTCTTTTCTACATTGGTGAGCACCAGGTCTCGTAAAGCTAATATCTGGACCAGGAAGTTATCCTCAATAGACTCCAGGAGTCTCCTGGATTGTTTGCAGCCCGCAGTGTTGTTATCCCAGCAAATATCGGGGTGGTTGAAATCCCCCATCAGGAGAAGAGCCTGCGAGCGTGACACCTCTTGAGCTGAAGCAAGAAGGCCTTGTCAAACAGCTTCTCCCTGATCAGGTGGCCTGTAGTAGACCGCAACCACTAGGTATCCTTTGCTGGAAGGGTCCTTGATTTTAACCCATAAGCTCTCAACCTGGTCCTGACTGTTTCTCAGAAGCAGCTCTTCGCAATCTATCCACTCCCCTATCCACTCTATAGAGGGCAACTCCCCCTCCCCTCCTACCATGTCTATCCCTTCTGAAAAGCCTGTAGCCCTCAATTAGTGTTCCAGTCGTGCGATTCATCCCACCATGCCTCTGTGATGGCAATTAGGTCATACTTTTCTGATTGCACCACAGTTTCCAACTCCTGTTTATTTCCCATGCTGTGTGTATTGGTGTAGAGGCACTTCAGCTGGGCTAGAGGCCTCATTACCTTCCTAGAGGAGCCCTTCCTAACACCTCTGGGACAAATCTGGGGTTTTCCCCCACTGCTGCCCAAGTTGACAGTGTTCCCTTGCTCTTCTTCGTCGCCCAGTACATCCCCTCCCCCCGTCATATCTAGTTTAAAGCCTTGCTAATCAGCCCAGCCAGCTTCCTCCCTAGAATGTTCTTGGCCCTTTTAGTCAATCTCATCCCATCTGATGTCAGTATTCCTTGTTTCTCAAAGCTATGCGCCAGATCATAGTGCCCAGACCCCGGAGTATGACACCATCCCTGAAGCCATTAATTCAGCCTATGTTGAGATCAGGTTGCTTTCCATAGTCACAAACATGATCTCTGGTGTTAAAAACTGTATTTTTTTGAATTATGAAAACGCTGAGCTTTTGTTGTACTTTCAGGTTCCGCGTTAGCAGCCAATGTTTGCAAGAAGATCACAGGGCGTCTCACTAGTGCTATAGCCAAGCAGGAGGATGTGTCTGTTCAACTGGAGGCACTGGATATCATGGCTGATATGCTGAGCAGGTGAATGTCCCTCTTCCAAAACACTGGTGAATGCTGAAAATACTCCTTAAAGCTTGAACTTTAATTTTCCAAATGTTAAATTTAAATTACTTTAAGTTATGTGAAATAATATTGTAAGATATTAAGTATAAGTGAAACCATTTAGAAAAACAAGTGAATGTATTGAAGAGATTTGATCTCTTCAATGGCTAATTGATAGATTATTATTTAATTTTCTGAGAACCGTAATTTTAAGGTTACTTTAATGTTTAGTGCTTTGAGGGTATATTTTAAACTAATTTTTTATTTTTAAAAGTTCCAAAAGCTTACATTTAAAGACTTAATTGTAATCTTTGTGATGTTTTGGTGAATATTTAAAGGAAGTGTTGTACAGTATATGAACAAAATTATCTAGATTCAATTGGTTTGAGTTTGTGTTTTGTCTGTTTTAAGGCAAGGAGGACTGCTTGTTAACTTCCATCCTTCAATTCTGACCTGTCTGCTCCCCCAGCTGACTAGCCCCAGACTTGCTGTGAGGAAAAGAACCATCATTGCTCTTGGTCACCTGGTTATGAGTTGTGGCAATATGGTTTTTGTTGACCTCATTGAACATCTGTTGACAGAGCTGTCTAAAAATGAGTCCATGTCAACAACTAGGACCTATATACAGTGTATTGCTGCTATCAGTAGGCAAGCAGGTCACAGAATAGGTAAGAAAAATATATAAATTACCTGTAACTTTAAAAGCTTTTAGATGAGAGTAATTACTTTGCTAATTTTCTTCTCTTACCAGGTGAATATCTTGAGAAAATAATTCCTTTGGTTGTAAAGTTTTGTAATGTAGATGATGATGAACTACGAGAGTACTGCATTCAAGCCTTTGAATCCTTTGTTAGGAGGTAAGTTATTCTCGGGTACCTGTTTCAGGCTTTCTTAAGATCTAATAGTGTGTCATTTGTTTGTAAGCTGTCAAGAGACAGTCTCCTTTGTACAAAATATTTCTGCAAGCTTTGAGCTGAAACTCTTCCTCTATCTTGCAACTTAACTGTTAAGCAGTGTATTATGTCTGTACTTCAGAAACGTTCTACTGTGCCATTGCTATTTACACAAACAGGAGGGGGGAAGTATTCTAATACTAAGTGTCCAATAGTGGTGACAAAAAAATAGATATCCAGAGGCGTGTCTTGGTCCTCTGCAACCTTGCAATCTAGCAGATCCAGTTACATAGTAGCATTGCCTTTTCTGAGCTTCATTTTTGAACTTCTGTAATTCAGGTGGATGTCTCCAAAGTACAGTATGTGGCATGAAGTCTTTTAGAAATGTCTTAATTCTTTAAAGTAATTTGGCATTGATTGTATTTTTGTATTACACAGATGTCCTAAAGAAGTTTATCCTCATGTATCTACTATTATAAATATTTGTCTTAAATATCTTACGTATGATCCTAATTACAATTATGATGATGAAGACGAAGATGAAAATGCTATGGATGCTGATGGTGGTGATGATGATGATCAAGGTATAGTCTCTTTTTGGTTTGGGGGAGAGAAAGAGCTTGTGAATCTGCACTCATCTGAGAAAATTTATATGGGTGGTATTGCTGCTAAGTACCAAGATTTGAATGACTTGTCTACTTTTGCATTCAACTTTTGTACTGCTTTTAAACATACCTTATGAACTCCCTTCTTGGAATAAAAGTATAGAATGTTGTTGAAGATAAATAATTCCAAGGGTGAATATAAAGTACGAGAGACTTATTTTGAAATACTTGAAACATGGAAAAAATCAGAAGCATGTAGCATGATGTAACTAAAGTGAGAAGAACATCAGATAATGAACTGAAAATACATATTCAGTATGGGGAAAGCTTCTCACTACTTTACACTGTAATATACTGTTACCTAATGCTTAGAATCAGAATAGATTGAAAATTGCAAAATACTCAGTGTTTTTCTGTAGGATAAAAAATGTTTTAGACTGAAAGGCATAAGGTATTTATTCTTAATATGGTGGCAATACATTGCCATATGTAAGCTTTATAAGACGTGGACACACAAATAATCTGAACCCAGAGCATAACATTCTCATTATTTTAAGAATGAACGAGCTGCACAGTTGTTGTTTTAGTGCTTCAAAAGTCAATTTGTATTGCTTATTGTATATTTTTGTTGTAATTTTTTGGGGCAGAGTGTGATCTGGTTTGTTCCTAGAAAGAAACAAACAATAATTTGTTGAATCTTGATCAGCTAGTAGTTGTATTGTTGCTTATGTTATGAATGAAGAGGAATATGCTTTAAATGGGTAGTCAGGCTGTAAATGTGATGGAAGCTGCCTTGTCCTGTCTGCAGTTTAATACATGTGTAAGACTAGTGTGAAAAAAATGGCAAAGAAAATAATTAGCCTTACGATTTAGGTAATTTAGAAGGCTTCTTCTGTATGGTTTTTAACATACTTGTGAACCTATTTCTTTGGTGTGCCTTATGCAAAGAACCCAAGTGTGTTCTTATTAATTGTTTAAAATAAAACTTGATGTTTTGATTATCTAGACTTGAACATATGTATAATTTATTTTTTCAAGGGAGCGATGATGAATATAGTGATGATGATGACATGAGCTGGAAAGTGAGGCGTGCAGCTGCTAAGTGTCTGGATGCTGTGGTTAGCACACGACACGAAATGCTTCCAGAATTCTACAAAACTGTATCTCCTGCTTTAATAGCCAGATTCAAAGAACGTGAAGAGAATGTTAAAGCAGATGTTTTTCATGCATATCTTTCTCTTTTAAAACAAACTCGGCCCGTGCAAAGTTGGCTTTGTGATCCTGATGCAATGGAACAAGGAGAGACGCCTTTGACGATGCTTCAGAGTCAGGTTAATTTTTAAGACTTTTACTACCTTCGAGAAGACACACTGAAGTTGTGCCCTGTTCATAAGGATAGTTATTGAAATGTGCCATGTCATGCTTTCTTCATATACAGATTACCATTTATTACTGTAGTACTAACATAGAGAGCAAGCCAGGTAAACCGGTGTGGAAGAATGCAGCAGCCTTGGAAAGTGAAATTATCAACTCATGCAAATGTGCTTATCTGAATTCAGTTGTTTACCATTGCATATAAAAAATTGCATGTCCTATGTAGTTTAGCCAAATTACCAAAGTGAAATAGTTATTTTGTGTATGCTGTAATGCAGGAGTAAGCTCTAACATTCAAGATAAAACTTGATTTGCTACAGCGTATTTTATTTGCTGAACAAAAAGGATAGTGCTGAAAAACTTTTTCAAAAGGAATGATGTGGGTGACTTTTCATTTGTTGCTCTGTACAGTTTTGTTAATGCAAATCTAGTTTTGCTTTGTTTCACCTCGCCTTTTAAAATTAAATTACTATTTTTTTGGATAGCAGTTCTTTTGTATCTTAATTTCCAAGTATTTATATAACTTCGCTAGTTCTGTAGACAAATTTGAAATAGAGGGGTAGGACATGTATCTTTTTTATATCCCCCCAGTCATCAGTGATCAAAGATGAAAGAAATGTCAGCTACTGAATCAATTAACAGATGTGTGGTGATTACAGGTCCCCAACATAGTTAAAGCTTTGCACAAACAGATGAAGGAGAAGAGTGTCAAGACTCGTCAGTGTTGCTTTAACATGCTGACTGAGCTAGTAAATGTATTACCTGGAGCCCTAACACAACATGTTCCTGTACTTGTACCAGGTATGAGAAACATATTAACTTAAAGATATATCAGTAGATTGGATGTGAAGTGTCAAAATCCTTAAGTCTTGACCGTACTTTTTAGCTTTAGTGATGTATTTCCATTAATCTTGAAAACAGGGGTTGGCTCTAAGATTGATATTTTTTTTTCTTCTGTGTTGTCAGGGTTTAAACACACTTTGGTGTTTGTGTGCTTGTTTTAACTTTTATCAAATCTGTCATTATCTTAACCCTTTCAAGGCCCACATTGGATGCCAAAAAAAGGACTGTCATGGTTTAAACATAGCTGGTGGCCAAACACTATGCAGCTGCTTGGTCACCCTCACCTGTTCTGGGGGGTAGGGGAGAGAATTGGAGGGATAAAGGTAAGGAGACTCATGGGTTGAGATAAGAACAATCTAATAATTGAAATTAAATTTAAAATAATATTGATGATAGTAGTAGTAGTAGTAGAATATACAAATGAGTGATATACAGTGCAGCTGCTCACCACCTGTTGACCAAGGCCCACCCCATTCCCAGCTAGCAATCCTAGAAAAGAGGGAAAATCCCAAAACTTCAATCCTGGAAAAGAGAGAGAGATCTTCCCAACCAACCCATATCTATATACTGAACATGATGTTGTATGATACGGAATATTCTGTTGGCCAGTTTGGGTCTGTTGCTCTGGCTATGCTCCCTCCCAGCTTCTTGTGCACTTGTACCCTAGCAAAATATGGAAAGTTGAAAAGTCCTTGATTTCTTAGCAGCAACTAAAAACATCAGTATATTATCAACATTCTTCTCATACCAAATCCTGTACTGAATTCAAAACACAGCCCTATTCTAGCTACTAAGAAGAAAATTATCTCTATCCCATCTGAAACCAGGAGATACATCTTATTAAAAAAAAAAGGTTAATTTGCTGCTTAGTTGCAAGATCAAATAGCTGCCTTTCTCATCTCAACAGAGCGAAATATTGACCATATTTTAGCTTTTTGGGACCTAAAATGTTGGATTTTGAAGTAACAAGGAAAAGTAAGTTTGGAAAAATTAAAGGTTCAGAATCCTATTATAATTAAGAAAATACATCACAAACCATGAAATGGCCAATGTCCAGTGTATGGAGGGAGCTTGAAATATAATTGATTGGATAAAATGGTGAAAAGGGCTTGGAAGCATTCAAGAAAGGCTGGGAGCAGGAAAACATCGATTGATAATAACTGCCTGCCTTCAGAAACTTTGAAGTGTTCTAACAGAATATAAATACCTAACCTAAAAATACATTTTTCTTTTTTCTTCCAGGAATAATTTTTTCACTGAATGACAAATCAAGTTCTTCTAATCTGAAGATAGATGCTTTGTCCTGTTTGTATGTGATCCTCTGCAATCATTCTCCCCAAGTCTTTCATCCTCATGTTCAAGCCTTGGTACCTCCAGTTGTAGCTTGTGTTGGAGACCCATTTTACAAGATAACATCCGAGGCACTTTTGGTTACCCAACAACTTGTGAAAGTCATTCGTCCTTTAGACCAGCCTTCTTCCTTTGATGCTACTCCTTACATCAAAGATTTGTTTACTTGTACAATCAAGAGATTAAAGGCTGCTGACATTGATCAGGAAGTGAAAGAAAGGGCAATATCTTGCATGGGTCAAATAATTTGTAGCCTTGGTGACAGCCTAGGCACAGACCTACCTAGTACACTTCAGATCTTCCTAGAGAGACTGAAGAATGAGATCACTCGGTTAACTACAGTGAAGGCCATGACATTGATTGCTGGTTCTCCTTTGAAGATAGATTTGAGACCAGTCCTTGGTGAAGGAGTTCCTATTCTTGCTTCTTTTTTGAGAAAGAACCAGCGAGCTTTGAAACTGGGCACTCTTTCTGCTCTAGATATTTTAATTAAGAATTACAGTGACAGCTTGACAGCTGCCATGATTGATGCTGTCCTGGATGAGCTTCCACCTCTGATTAGTGAAAGTGATATGCATGTATCACAGATGGCCATCAGTTTTCTGACAACGCTGGCTAAAGTATATCCTTCCTCCCTGTCAAAGATTAGTGGGTCCATTCTCAACGAACTTATTGGGCTGGTGAGATCGCCTCTACTTCAGGGTGGAGCACTTAGTGCCATGCTAGAATTTTTCCAAGCTTTGGTTGTGACTGGTACAAATAATTTAGGCTATATGGATTTATTGCGCATGTTAACAGGTCCAGTGTACTCACAGAGCACAGCACTTACTCACAAGCAGTCTTACTATTCCATTGCCAAATGTGTTGCTGCCCTTACTCGAGCCTGCCCTAAGGAAGGACCAGCTGTTGTAGGTCAGTTCATTCAAGATGTCAAGAACTCAAGGTCCACCGATTCTATTCGGCTTTTAGCTCTGCTTTCTCTCGGGGAAGTTGGGCATCACATTGACTTAAGTGGACAAATTGAGCTGAAGTCTGTAATACTAGAAGCATTCTCTTCTCCTAGTGAAGAAGTCAAATCAGCGGCATCCTACGCATTAGGCAGTATTAGTGTTGGCAATCTTCCTGAGTATCTGCCATTTGTTTTACAAGAAATAACGAGTCAACCTAAGAGGCAATACCTTCTTCTTCATTCCTTGAAAGAAATAATTAGCTCTGCATCAGTGATTGGTCTCAAACCATATGTTGAGAACATCTGGGCCTTACTTCTGAAACACTGTGAATGTGCAGAAGAGGGTACAAGGAATGTTGTTGCTGAATGCTTGGGCAAGCTTACGTTAATAGACCCAGAGACTCTGCTTCCACGGCTCAAGGGATACTTGGCATCAGGTAAGTAGTAGTAACTCATGTAAATGTTGTAGCAAATGGCCTTATGCTATCTACTAATAAATTGGTCTAATTTTGCAAATTATTTGCTTAAATTTTGTGATATTCTTCAAGTTTTGGGGTGTCTGTGTCCCATCCCCCCACCCTGAACAATGTGAAGCTTAAATCTTTGTGTTCTTAGATCAGAGTTCTGCTTTCAGATTGTGATATATCAGTTAGTGATGTTATATTTAACAAAGAGCTATAAACTTAAGGGGAAAGAGAATGAGTGATGAAGGGACAGCAATATTTGACAGACCAGTTGCAACATGTTGACCTTTTCTGTAAATTACAGTATTCCTAATTTTTTGGATAAGAATTCTGAAATTTTTAAGCATCATTGTGCATAATTCGTGAATCAATTTCATATCGAGAACTCTATTGACATGTTTTCTTCATGTGCTTCTGCTTTAAAGAAGAGACTTATTTGTAGGACTATGCATGATCATAAAAAAGAAAATTTGTTGTAATAGGCTTATTACTTGAATCTTCTGTGGCAGTTAACAATAAATATTTACTACAAATGCTGTGGTATTTTCCCCCCCTGTTTAAAATGTTTTCCCCATAGATTTAGTTATGTTACATTGCTAGTAATAAATCACATTTCTTGTTGAGTGTTCTTAAGAGTATTAGAAGTTTAAAAAGAATGGCGTTGAACATGATTTAAATTCTGTCGTACTGTTTTAATGCTACATATTTAGACTTTTGTTTCATATTAGGGTCCTCATATGCTCGAAGTTCAGTGGTTACTGCTGTTAAGTTCACTATTTCTGATCATCCACAACCCATAGACCCACTCTTGAAGAACTGCATAGGTAAGTTCTTTACTTCTGTTTTCAGGCAATAGAATTGCTTTTAAAATTGGTTCTTTGTGTTTTCAGAAGTAAATATTTTGCAGGTACCAGAATTAGCTGCTAATGCTGTTGAACAGTTATAAAATGTTTCCATAATAGCCAATTATTTGTATTAGTCCTAGCTTGTGTGAATACTGAGCAGTAAAAGTTGTGTGATTAAAAATTATATGTATTGAAACTGTGATGAGCAATATAAGAAGCTTAGGAAGATGATACCCAAAGGCTAGTTTCCCTTCCCATGTTCTTGCCAAATTGTATCAGTTTGATGTAGTAAGGTACTGTTTTTACCCAGAAGGGTTGTCTTGGAAATAGTTGACATTCAGTCACTTAAAGTACATATGCATGTGTGAACTGTGAGTGTTACCAGGTGGTGAATTGTAAATTTAGGTACTTAAGATTCTGTAGTGCTTTGTGGTCTGAAAGCATGTGGAATCGTGTGTATTTTTACAGGGATAAGGTAGTCCGAGCTTTCAGTGTAACATCAGTATGATAGAGCTTTGCAATGCTGTGGCTTTTTGGTCTTTTCTCGTTTGTATGACAAAGTATTGTAGATTTATTTAATGTGCTATGGTGAATGTTTTATAGTGGATTAATTACAGGCTTAAAGATCTGTAAAAAAATGTGTATACTGCTAAACCTAATAGGGGAAAAAAAGTTGTATTTTAAAAACATACAGTTTTGTGGAGAGCAAGATTTTTATTTATGTGGACATAGAGTCAGTTCCTATGTGTTACTTTCCCTCACTAAGCTCTTTTTTTTTTTTTTAACAATATATTCAAGAATGCAGTATGCTTGTGGGGTTTTTTTTTTCCCACTGCCATCCCTCTCACTGAAGCTGCCTTGTCCCTTTGGTTTCTGGAAATATTTATTGATTATTCAGTCAAAAAACTATCTCGTGCTTAAAAAAATCTCAGTCATCTGTTATGCAGGGTTTTTTTGTGTATATAGAAATCACTTTGATGTTTACACCTTCTTGTTTTTCTCCTTTTAAAAATTTCACTCCTCTTGGAAGTTGCTGGTAAAACTTCACAAGCATCGAGGAAAATATGATATATTCTTGCAGGCATTTGTTTTAACAAGGCTGTGTTGTAGAACTGTAGAAACTCTAATTGGAAAATGCCCGAGGGTGGGGTGAGAGAGATGTTGCTACATTAATATATACTGAGTAGGCTTATCTTATGGTAATTTAGAATTCTCAGTATGTGCCAATGTAGGGGTTAAAAACCAATATGTTAATAGTCTCCTTAAAGGTGTTCTCTAATTCTTGAACTGCAGAATTGAAATAACTTTTCTAATGCATATTCTGAGAGACATTTAACAGAGAAAAGGAAAGATTGTATTAGATATAGTGTGTAAAGTAATGACAATTATACCTTCAGAAAAAAGTTGAAATATCATTAAGGGATGGCCATTTATTTTGATGATGGATTTTCCTACTTCTGTTTCAGTGTATGAAATACTGTGTATCTCAATTATATTAATACTTTTCATATTAATATAATTAATAGATTTATTTGTGTAATCATGCTGAAATAGCAGGTGTTGGTCTCTGATACATCAAAATAACTCTTGCACTAAATATGTCCTTGTGAAAGGTTAAAACTAAGCCAAGATATTTTTAAAGTAGCAAAAGAAAAAAGATCCTCAGACTGTTTTGTTTTATTTTCTGTACACGTTTGCAGGTGATTTTCTGAAAACATTGGAAGACCCAGATCTCAATGTCAGGAGAGTAGCCCTAGTGACATTTAACTCAGCTGCACACAATAAACCATCATTAATAAGGGACCTCTTAGATACTGTGCTTCCTCATCTTTACAATGAAACAAAAGTCAGAAAGGAATTAATCAGAGAGGTATGTTAACTAAGAAAACCAGAGCTAAATATATATAAAGCAGACTCTTAGGTTTTTCTAAATGTATTATTTCTTAACTTTGGTTTTTTGTTTGCTGACAGGTGGAAATGGGACCATTTAAGCATACAGTTGATGATGGGTTGGACATAAGGAAAGCAGCTTTTGAGTGCATGTATACTCTTTTGGATAGCTGTTTGGATAGACTAGATATATTTGAATTCTTAAATCATGTTGAAGATGGCCTGAAAGATCACTATGATATTAAGGTTAGTTGTCATTTTTCTCTGTGTAACCAATAACTTGGTCAAAATATTTTAAATAGTGAATTGACTGAAACAGTACAAGTATTACTTAGTATGCTTAAGTATCTTACTATATTTGCCATTTTCATTGAAGTGTTGCTGTTAAAAAGGTTGCACAGCATTGCAGGAAATATATCTCCATATATGTGCTGAGCATAACTAATTGTGAATTTTTTTTCTTCCTCAACCTAGATGTTGACCTTTTTAATGTTGGTGAGACTGTCTACCCTTTGTCCAAGTGCAGTGCTGCAGAGGTTGGATAGGCTTGTTGAACCTTTGCGTGCTACGTGTACAACTAAGGTAGTTAAATTTAAACTTCCTTAAGTTGATTATTTTGTAGTGTATTACAGAAATGTAAATGAACTTGTGTATGAAGAATACTTCTGTATTACCACAGTATTTCTTGAGTTATAGTTGATAAGCTGCAGTAGGCAGAATAATATAGATATGTAGGCCTTTATACCTGTATTGAATTTCTTTAAATTGAGTGGAGGGGCAGACTTGTTAGCTTCTTTTAAAATGTCCTCTGTTTCTTTGATGTAATTTCTTTTGTTCCTTAAAAATTTAGCTTCCAGTAGGGCAACTTGTAAGTCTCACCTCATTATAAATAATGAGACAGGAATCCTGAGAGTTCTTCTGGCTTATGATGATCATACTGTTTCACACAAGTATTTGGGTGATGAAGGATGGAGGCAGTGTAAAGTAGCCCCATTTTTGCTGTTGGCTTTTTCGTTTACATTACTGGATTCTTGGGTCATGGTACAGTTAGTCTCCTTCTATTCCTGCTCTTGTCTTGATCCACCTACGTGCTCTGACAGTCATTTAGTGCCTGATTTACCTTGCTTTTCTATTATTGTAGTCTGATATATTTCACATCAAGAAATTTGCCTGCTTTTGAAGATAATTTGTTTGTATCACTGAAACGTCTTTGAGAATTATAACAGAAGTTTAAGCACTTATTCTAATGGAGGTCAACTTTTTAAAAAAGTTTTATTCACTGGAAGCTGGAAGTACTGTGATAATATAATTTTAATATCATTCATTGACCTTACTAGGTAGAGGTTGGCTGCTGTACTTGTTTTGTTTTGATAATTGACTTGGTAGCCAAAAACCTTTTTCTGCTTACCTTACAGTATGCAAGTTTCAGTGTATTTGTAAACTACTGGTAAGAAGTCTAGTAAGAAGTAGATATTTGGGGTTTTTTGTTTGCTTTTTAAGAATTTAGGCAATTTTGAAAACTGTGCACAGTGATAGTATGGAAGGAAGTAGGTCTTTATAAGATATATACATATTTTTTTTTTAAGGTGGGCATAGAGGGAGGGTTAAGCAAAACTTTCGAACATTTTCATTTCCTAGGTAAAGGCAAACTCGGTGAAACAGGAGTTTGAAAAGCAAGATGAACTGAAACGATCTGCTATGAGGGCAGTAGCAGCACTTCTAACCATTCCAGAAGCAGAGAAGAGTCCATTAATGAGTGAATTTCAGTCACAGATAAGCTCTAACCCTGAGCTGGCAGCCATCTTTGAAAGTATCCAAAAAGATTCATCATCCACTAACTTGGAATCAATGGACACTAGTTAGATGTTTGTCCAAAATGGGGACCATTATGTTGAACCATATGATGCACTGAATTGACAGGTTAAGAGTAAGAAACAGAAAAAGTATCTAATCTACACATTGTTCCACTTTATTTACCTTAACGGAGACAGTTGGCTTTTCCCATTGTTGCTTTTCTAGCATTTATTCCAAAAATGTATTTCCATAATCTGAAGTTTGTTAACCACTCTTGTTTTAGTGGATTTGGCCACATTTGGGAATTAAAAAGTTGACGCGTGGTGTATGGAAATAGGTTCCAACATCCATTTGCCCTGTAATGTCTAGGATTAAAATGTCAAAATTTTGTGACCATGATTTTTTTTTTTCCCTTTTATTCACTATTTCTACTTGTAACAAAAAAGGGGGGGGAGGTGGGAATCAAGCATCCATGTGCACCATGTTTTTGTATAACTTTTTATTCTTTTTTGTTTCAGCTTCATAAATTCATTTGGCTGGCAGATGAATTCTGTGTAAGATTTATTATATTAAAAAGAGGGCTTGGGCACAGTTCAAAAAAAGATGACGTAAATGTCATTTTTGAAGCCGTGGGGTGTAGAAAACAAATTTCCCTGTTATGCACACTAATTTTGCATGAGTAAGTTTACAAATATATGTCTGTAAAACAGCATGTGCAGTTTATTCATAATACAAGTTAAAATAAGTTCTACTGTATCAGTGCAGTTTTCAGGTATTTTGACATACAAACCATTCATACAGGAAGGGACAAATGAAGGCTGGTTGTCTTAACCTGGCTTTTTTAAATGCCACTAGTATCACCCTAGAGATGTTCTTACAGTAAATATGACAATTCCTGCAGTTTTCATGTCTTTCATTATCAAAGGCTGGGTCCCCTGGAATTGGGGTGGACAAACTGGAAGACCAGAGGGAAATAGGATGAGGTGTAGGTAAAATGAGCAGAGAACAACAAAAGCTGCTTAGTGGCTCCTGAACCCTGGATTCAACTTTGCTTTTGTTATAAAATTGTGAAAGGAGGTTTCTTCAGTGGCTTCTACCTCTTTCCTTCATCCAGCAGCTTTTGTTAAGGCACTAGAATATGGTGTTACCTGGACAAGTATTGCCAGACCATAATTTTGTGACTGTCAGAATGTTTTTCTGGCACATGGAGCCACCAGTAGGTTGCAGCACTGCAAGTGTCATACAGTATTCTGGCAAGATAGAAAACAGGGGAGGGTCGTAAGACTGGAGAGAGATAGAAAGCAAACAGATACAAGAAAAAAGTCTGCCGTGAGTATGCTGAGGTAATCTAGAAGTGGACCAGAAGGTAGTCCCACAATGAACTGGATTTGGAAATTCGATAGCAGAAGATGGGGAACAACTGCCTCAAATTGAGACTTGTCATTACTTGGTTAATGCAATTGCTTAGTTGTCTTTTTTTTTAGTCAGATCTGAATTAGGTTTTTCTGTAGTTAACTGGTATTTTTTAGATGGTTTGATACCTTGGAAACCTCTTACATGGATAGGTGTCTAAGCTGCTATGTGACTAAGCCAACACACATTTTTATGACCTCAGAGACAGTTTCCTGTGAGCATTTGGGCTCGGGGGCAAATTCTTCACCTTACAAGCTTGCAGCTTGGGAAAAATAGGGGAAATATTGGTGCATTTTACTTTAATAAAAGGACTTGAATGAAGAGATCTATGAACTCATTCAGTAGTAACAATTTTAATGCTGTAGAAATTTTTGAAACTGTAGCTTTCTCTGTCTCCAAAGTCTTGATACTAATGTAACAATTGTCTTCTAGAAGTAGAAATAAATGAGATTAAACATACCAACATATCTAAATGTCATGAAAAAGAATGGGATGACTCTAGAGAAACCATATGGTAGAGAAAGCACTGTGAATTAGGTGTATTTTATGTTGCTGTATAAATCATCTACTTCAATTACAGCAATATACAGGCCTCCTAATTAAGAATCTCTTGTGCTAATTAGTTGTCAAACTAATCTTAGAACTTTTATGTTAAGTTTTCAGAGTGCATTAAAATATTTTATAGACCTAAAGCTAGGTGTGACAATGGTGTGATAAACATGAAATGTGAGGCTAAAATACATAAATGGAGTAGGTGACAAGGGTAAGTAAACAGCATACTTGTATTAGTAAGTGAGAGATTTGTGTATGTTTATGTACTACCATAATGCCTAATGTGGATGCAAATAAGCTTGGCTTTGTTCTACAGTACATTACAGTGGAGCAAGCTTAAGGACAGAAAAGAAGGTTGAGTATATTACATAGTGAATGCTTTCTTGCATGAGAGTAATTTTCGCTTTGACCACTGATAAAGCAGGAGGAAACATAAGACTTAAGTCTTCCCTGTAAGTTACAGAAATTCTAAGAGTATGGTTCTCTCCAAGTAGCAGTTTGTTATTTTGGTGACGGAGGAAGAAAGGCTCATAAGGTTGTAACTGCACCATAATTACTGAAATGACTTTTTATTTTTATAAAATCTAACCAGGTTAGGTGTTCAAATTCCACTGACTTTGACTGGATTGTTTGATTAGATTTTTGTTTGTTTGTTTTTTCCCCGCTGTATATCCAAGTATTTGGGTAAATCTGGTCTATTTGTGCTTTTAGTGCAGGTAGATTCAGGTAATTATGTTAAGGATGATGTCAGGAATACCTGTGGCTGTTCTTTAAATGCTAAATATCTGAAACTAGAATATGAAATCACTGTCACTAAAACAAAACCAGAATTATAAAAGGCTGCTCTTACAAGATTTGTGGTATGTTTAGAACTTTCTCTAGTATTTTTCATCATTTTGCAGACAGGCAATTGAGACCAATTAATAAGCTGGTACCTAACATAGAAATGGTTGGCTAGTCCTTGCATTGTAGATTCTTGCTTTTAAATATTTTTGTATTTCAAAAGTACTTAATGCTTTGATTTTTCCATGAAAAATCTTGCCATTCTTGCAAAGGAGGTCTTTTCTAAAATTATAAATTTAAAACTTCAGATACCTTAAGAATGCTACACTTCAATCCTGTAAATTGATTTTTTTCAATATAGTTTTCCTTCAAAATGTTGCAGCTAATACAGCAGCTGACAAAATAAAAAGAGCTGAACTAATTCCAGATTGTATTTTTGAGATGAACAAAGCAGTGCATATGCATGGAAGCAGCATTGCTTCTCTCAAATGAAGGATTATTTTAACATTTCATCAACTCAAATTAGCAATATGAATTAAAAGTTCATATCTGCTACTATTGTATTTGTCTTAAGAGATATACTCAGTAGTGATGCCAGGAACAAGTTCACCCTGCTCTGGTGGACTGGTTAGTAGTAGGGATTTAGCAACTGTTCTCATATTTACTGGTACTTCCCCTTCTTCACCTCCCCTGAAGTTGACTTTAAAAGCAAAGTAACTTGTGGCCTTGGAAGTGTGTGTGGGTTTTTTTGTGTTTTTGTTAATTGTGATCATTCTGATTGAAAAGATACCTGCTTCTGCTAAATGCCAAACAGTTAAGCTTGCAGCTCGCCAGTCTTATTTCCCTGTTGCTCTAAACTTTCACATAAAAAGTACTTTTTTTGTTGTTACTGTTCTTAAAATTAATTTTGGAGAAATGAAAAATACGAGTCAGTTTATTACTTTTGTCCTTGTTTCCTCCTTCCTGTGAGATGGAAAGGTTTGCTTGCTTCACTATTGAACATGAACAGGCATGTGTTGTGACAGTGAATGTTGTCCCCTGTTCTAGAAGAGCTTTTCAGCATAGTTATAGCTCTTACACTAAAACTGACCTTGTTCATCAATATCCATTTATAATTTTTCATTGTATCTGAGTTTGATGGAGGAGAAGGAAATCTGAGTTCTTGAGAGTAATGAAGTAAATTAATCTTCCATGACCAGTGTTGGTGAAGAAGAGAAGTTTTCTGCAAGAGGTGCTTTTGTGAGGATCAGGCAGTTTTTTTTTGGTAGTGAGTTAGAGTTCTTTAGATTTGTTTCTACCCCATGGGGCTTCAATGTTTCCATATAATCTTTGATGAGGAGAAAGCTGTCTTCAGAAAGGTCATCCATCCCCCAAAACAAAGAGGTTTCTGTTGATTTTAGTCTGTATGTTGTGGTTTAGAACATAATCCTGAACCAGATAAGTACGAGTGTGTTTCTGAGATCCACACAGACACCATGGGGAAGACACAGCTGAAGTGTAGCACTGAGAGAAAATAAAATATTAAGTGCAAATATTTTAGTTTTAAATAATTCTCCTTTATTTGTGTTCTGCCTTTGGTGTATTTTTGAAGAATGGGAAATACAGAAGGGAAAAAAGTAATTAGCAAACTGTGAACTTCTGTGATCCCAGAACTTAAGGGTTTAATTTCTATTCCCTGCTACTTCCTTCAAAAAAAAAAAAAAAATCCCACCAGAGGTATTTTCACACAAGTATATAGTCATTCTGAAAAGACTGTCATTCTGAAGGTGTTAAAAGGTTTTTATTATATTTTCATTGTTTTTTTTTCTTTTATTCTGAATAAATTCTTTCCCTTCATATGTAGCTTTCTCCCACCTGACAATTTGGAGGCAGACTTTAAGAAGTAAGCTGTGTAGCTTGGTTCAGTGCAGTAAAGATATTCCTGAAGTAGGAAAAGTTTGCAGTTCACCCTTTCCCAATGTTATTTTAGTGATATTTTTTTTTTTTTAATTGGTCACGTATGACTGTAGCTTCCATTCAACCTGCAGCCTTTCTTCTCTTCAACTGAACAAGTATTGGACTCTTAATTGATTACTGTTACTTTGGATGCTGCCTTTCCTGAGGGTTCTTGCTATTGTAATCTCAAGTCCTCTAGAAGACTTTCTCCAGTCCCTACTAAGGTTATTTGCTAGAAGGCTTTATCAGGTTTATCTCTCATATCTATGGCATTTATGTTCTGCATGAAGATAATTGTTTCATAAATTGCATGTAGTATCCATTTTATGGAGGGGTTTCTTCGATGCTATGCTTACATGCAACTGAAAGCCATTTTTGAGGAAATTTGTAGTTCAACCATTCCCTTTTGCAGTGAAAACCCACATTTTCTTATTTAAAAACATATCTAAGGACAAAATAAAACTTTGTTTAATGGACAGCACAACTAATGGAATGTGGCTTCACGTAAATTTTTCTCTTGCCCCTCAATTTTTTAATGCTTGCACTGTACCAAATGATCTGCAGCTCTAGACCAGCTTGCCAGTAAGGTGTTTTGTGGCAGCTGAGTTCTGCCTACTGATGGAATGTATGGGAGGAGCTGCTTCAGTTCTTTTCCTTCCACAGCTACTGATCTTCACACAGGTAACAAACTTTGAAATGTCAGCCACATTCGACAGAAGGGTAAAAATTGACCAGCATCAATCCCACTGGATTTCCCATGATCCTGATTTTTTTTTCAAAGTTAAACAACTTTACCATATTTTTTCTCCAAATGCAATGATGATCCAGATGAGTCTTTATTAGGAGGAAGATACTAAATTAAAGTGAGTTGTACTGAGTTCTTGGTTTTCCTAACACTGTAGATTGAAACCCATATCTCTGCTCTGAATTGTGACTTTTTTACAAAGCCCATATCATTCTATGCAGAAGTGTGGATGAGATGGTTGATTTTATTACCTTGGCAGGGGGTAGCCAAAGT